CCAATCATGATTAATAATTCCATCCTGTAATTAATAATTAGCCAATATCATACATAATTATCATCTAGTAATGAAATTTCACTCTTGTGCATCGTACGTAAAATTATTACAATACGTAAATAAAGTAATAAGATATAAGTTTACACTTTAAATGCACATTTAACATTTAATTAAACAGAATCTACAATCAAATCTGCTGCCAAAATAACTACAGTAAAAATAGATCAATACACCGTGAAGCATCGTGGGAAAATACACAAGTAAAACAAAGTATGGCGGGGCAAAACGTACGGAAAACACATGCTGAAAGATGCTAAAATACATTGTTCACATGATAATTAAGGTAATCATCAGGTAATCCTAAATTACAGTGCAACTTTCTAACTATGTATTTACAAGTAAGTAAACAACAAATGTATAATTAAATAACTCAACATCCAAGACATCATAAGACATGAAAAAGGTGGGAGCGATTGTTACATATCAATAAAAAAAATTTCTTAAGAATTCAAAAGCATATTTAGGTGGTGAAGATTCAAGTTTGTTTTAATCATACCCCCATCCCCCACCCACCACCCCTCACTTTAATTTAACTTTTCAATACTGAACTGATTTCTGCTTTTTCCTCGCCAATTCTATTGGTTTGATAGGAAAATATTCTAATTATGAGTTTTAGCAATTTTTAAAACTATGCAAAATGTTTTACAAAATTATAGGATTATTTTTTTTTGTATCCCATGTCCTTAAACTTCGGTATCTTGAACATCGATATTTTCAATACCATAGATATATCGAAGTGAGCTAGAAGTCCAGAATGCTTTAATTATTTTCCCTTGAATTCTCAGAAAACCCTATTTTTTTTTTTCTCCCACAGAGTTTGATGTAAAGAGGTTTGACTTGTATAATATTGACATAACTTCAAGTTAAAAAATTACATGCTTATAAACTATGAAGTTCAGCCATTCATTTTTTTTTTTTGGCATAGATCAGAAAAAGCTACTTTTGATTCTTAACACAGTTACACCTTTAATTTTCATGGTGTTTTTGTTGTTGTTGTTGTTTTGATGTCCTGAAGAGACCCTCAAATTCGTCACTTCCACAGAATGTCACTATTTCAAACAACCTTTTCCTGTGTTCTCTTTGCAAGAAGTCAAATCTCTGCATACCAGTTATATTCCTCAAACCTAGAAAAATTTGACACACAAATACAAAAAGCTTTGAACAGGTTTTTTTTTTATTGATGATCATTATTAAAAAAATGTTGAGAGTGATAGCTGATTTACAACATTATAAAAAGGAATTTCAAATTTGAAATTGGGGTGGGATGGAGGGTCAGCCTGAGGAAATAGTAATTTATTTAACAAAAATATCATATGAAGTCTTCATTTCATAGGAAAACCCAAGCCTGTCCCAAAGGAAGAAAGACTATAGTCTCACTGAAGTGTGATCAGCAACAGAAAGGACAGGGTGTGATTGAGAACCCCGCTAAATGTCCCGACGGAACGTGTGATGGATGTCTGTTCCACTTCCTGTGGACGACAGATCAGGCTTGTCCCCAATGTGTGGAGGAGGACATACAGATCATTGTGGGGGAGTGTCTAGATGAAGTACAGACTGTCCATTATAGTGCCCCAAAGTGAGTCTGGGAACACCATTACTGACTCTATTTCTGTGTATAGTAAATAGGACGGTATCTTAAGGTTTATACAAGACTTGGAATATAGTGTTTGAAATAACCAGACCACCCGAGACGCACACATTTTGCAGCAGGCGAACAAATTTGCATGTATTGATGCCCGGCTAGACGTGTTATAATTTTCGACAATTAAAATTTATATATTTGATAAATCTCTCTCGTATCAACTAAAAGTATCAGTAGCAAAGTGTAACAAGCCCAGAGGAAAAATTCATCAGTCTATAGATTCAGGATCGAAGTTATGGTTAACTGGTTCCAGTCACATAATGGTTAAAAACAAAGTAATAAAAGACAAATAATATTTTCTCGGGCTATTAGATCTTTGGCAGGGCTGACAACTTTAATACTAGCAGTCAGCACTGCATGTTTCAATTTGCTAATTTTACAGTGAGTTTCAAACACTGGGAATATACAGTGAAACTTGTCTAATCAGACTTGCACTGGTGTACTAATTATATGTCAGAAGAAAAAGGGTGTCTGATTGCATATAGTGTAAAGAACATGGAAAAAAGGTGAAGTGAGAATAAAATAAAAGGCAGAATGTACAGTGAAAGGATTGCATGGATTTGGGATTAAACAGCTTTTAATGTAATATGCACTTTTTTTTATTAAGCCAGTGTACAAAATTCTTAAATAAATTTAATTTTTTTAGGTCACCTGAGTCACTCAGGTGACCTATTGCTATCCGTTCTCGTCCGTCGGCGTGGCACTGCGTCGTGTGTAAACATTTGAACATTTTTAGCTTCTTCTCTGAAACCGCTTAACCAATTTCAAGCAAATTTGGCATATAGCATCTGTGGGTGAAGGGGAACAAAAATTGTGAATTTCATGGTCCCTGCCCCCCTGGGGCCTGATGGGTGGGGCTAAAACCACCAAAAATGATGCAATCTTTAAAAATCTTCTTCTTTACTCCAGGACATCAAACAGTCAAACTGTTGGCATCACTGTAATAAGCAGTGAGCCCTCTACCAAAATTGTGAAATTCATGGCCCCAGGGTCAGGAGTTCTGGCCCCAGGGTGGGGCTATATAGATCATATAGTGAAAGTGCATTATTTCTTTGAAAATCTTCTTCTCTGCTCCTGGGTATTAAATAAAGTAACTAAGTACATAGTAATGATGAGCAAGAGTGCCTCTTCAAAAATTGTGAAATTCATGGCCCCTGGGTCAGGGGTTCTGGCCCCAGGGTGGGGCTATATGGATCATATAGTGAAAATGCATTAATTCTTTGAAAATCTTCTTCTCTGCTCCTGGGTATTAAATAAAGTAACTAAGTACATAGTTATGATGAGCAAAAGTGCCTTTTAGAAAATTTTGAATTTCATGGCCCCAGGGTCAGGGGTTCTGTTGTTAGGGCGGGGCTCTATTGATTATATAGTGAAAATGCATTAATTCTTTGAAAATCTTGTTCTCTGCTCCTGGATATTAAATAAAGTAACTAAGTACATAGTTATGATGAGCAGGAGTATCTCATCCAAAATTGTGAATTTCATGGCCCCAGGGTCAGGGGTTTTGGTGTTAGGGCGGGGCTCTATCGACTATATAGTGAAAATGCATTAATTCTTTGAAAATCTCCTCCTCTGCTGCTGGGCATTAAGGTGATAAACTAAGTACATAGTTATGATGAGGAGGTGGGCCTCTTCCAGAATTATGAAAGCCATGGCCCCTGGGTGAGGGGTTCTGTTGTAAGGGCGGGGCTCTATTGATTATATAGTGAAAATGCATTGATCCTTTGAAAATCGTCTTCTCTGCTACTGGAGATTATTTAAACAAACTAAGTGCATGATTATGATAGGCAAGGATGCCTCTTCCAAAATTTCAAATATATGGCCTCAGTTTATGGGGTTCTTGAGGAAGGGGGGCTCTATTGATTATATAGTGAAAAAGCATTAATTCTATTAATTAATAATTAATTAATCCTGTCTGCTCCTTAGTGTTGAGCTGATAAATAAATTGCTTAGCCATGATGAAAATGTGAGCTTCAAACAGAATTTTTAAATCTTGTGGTCCTTGGGTCAGGGGTTCTGGCATAACTAAGGGGGGGGGGGGCTTTTGATAATATAGTGGAAAAGTGTTAATTCTTTGAAGTCCATAGGTATGATGATGAGGGTAACTCTTCCAAATTTGTAAATTTCTTGACCCTTGGTCTTGGGTTCTGGTGTTAGGGTAAGGCTTTGTTGAATCTGTAGTGAAAATGCATTGTGCCTGTGAAATTCTTCTCTGCTTCTGGCCATATCGGAAGAAAACTGAGTAAAAGTTTAAAATTAATGATATAAGTAAGCGTATTTCTACCAGATTTTTGAACATCTGGACCATTTGTCTAAGGATTCTAGTCCTGGGCAGGGCTCTATTAATTTGTATTCTACTGAGAGAAGTTATTCCCCTTTTCCATTCACCTTTGATAATTAATCCCTGTAAATAATGTATTTGAAAGGTTAATAGAATAAGATAATTATGCAAGAATGTTTATCATATAATTCAAAAAATATTTTCTTAGTTTTAATAATCAGGTTAACCTGTAAGTAATGGATAAATAAAAATGAGACAAAAATAACTTATCTTATTAAAAGTTCTTCAAAGACCATAAGAGAGGTCAATGTTAGAGCTCTTACAGTGTATAGTATATCATGTAGTATAGAAGTTACAGTGTATAGTATATCCTGTAATATAGAAGTTACAGTGTATAGTATATCCTGTAGTATAGAAGTTACAGTGTATAGTATATCCTGTAGTATAGAAGTTACAGTGTATAGTATATCCTGTAATATAGAAGTTACAGTGTATAGTACTTCCTGTAATATAGAAGTTACAGTGTGTGGTATATCCTGTAGTATAGAAGTTACAGTGTATAGTGTATCCTGTAGTATAGAAGTTACAGTGTATAGTATATCTTGTAATATAGAAGCTATAGTGTATAGTATATCCTGAAATATAGAAGTTACAGCGTATAGTATATCCTGAATATAGAAGTTACAGTGTATAATATATCCTATAGCATACTTGCACTAGACTTTAAACACAATTGCATAATTAGAAGTTATTTTCAAAATTGATGTTAATGTCCTTGTGTAATGTTAATTGCATTTTATAAAGGGAAACTCTCTTCTATACTACACAGACTTGTAGAAAATTAGAATTGTTCATAGAGTGCAGTTTTCTTAATGTAAAAAAGAAATTTATCTTAATAAGGTAAAGTTTTATTTGAATACAGAGGTATTTCAAATATTAAGTGCTCATGGAAAAATTATTTTGGTAATGTGTATGTAAGCTTTTATGCACTGAGTTTTCTATCTTTTCCTATTGCAGCTAAAAGTGGGCATTCCCTCTGCAGTTGGAGTGGGAATTCTGCTGTTTTTATGTGTGATTTACTGCTGGTGTAGAAACAGAAAGTAAGACTTTTATTATTTTCACTGATAAATTCTTACCAATGCTTTACTTTCAACTTTTTCTTATTTCTTTCAATTAATTTAAAAACTTAAAACTGGAATAATTATTTAAATATAATTAACACAACTTGAAAAGGGAAATGGCCTTCAGCAAATTTGAATCTGGTAATTGTAGTTTTTTCAATACATTGTGGTGAAATTAATATATAACAATACTAGAATCTGATAATCTAAATACATGACATTTTTATTATTTTAACTGGCATTATCTTCTATAAAAACTTTGTTTTAAAAGATCTTTCTGTAGGTGTGTTTACTGCTTTGATAACTATTTTTGTCTAACCTTATAATATGTTGTATGTAATAGCAAGGGAATACTCCCAAGCTCTGAAAAGGAGAAGTATGATTAATAAATAAATGTATAACAAGAATTTTAGTGGGAACTTGTGTACAGTTAATGAATGGCCTATTTATAGACTTGAGCAGGGTTATGTTTACATTGAGGACTTGTGTACCACTAATGATTGGCCTATTTATAGACTTGAGCAGGGTTGTATTTACATTGAGGACTTGAATACAGTTAATGATTGGCCTATTTATAGACTTGAGCAGGGTTATGTTTACATTGAGGACTTGTGTACCACTAATGATTGGCCTATTTATAGACTTGGGCAGGGTTGTATTTACATTGAGGACTTGTGTACAGTTAATGATTGGCCTATTTATAGACTTTAGCAGGCTTGTGTTTACATTGAGGACTTGTGTACCACTAATGATTGACCTATTTATAGACTTGAGCAGGGTTATGTTTACATTGAGGACTTGTGTACCACTAATGATTGGCCTATTTATAGACTTGAGCAGGCACTACTGTAATGATTTTCCCCTTAGATTCCAAAAAATCCCCTGACGTTCCCCTGTCTGTCCCTGACATTTTCCTGTCTCCCCCTGACTTTCTCCTATGATCCCCTGTCGTTGTCCCTGACTACCCTGTCTACTCCCTGACGTCCCCTGACTTTGCCCCTGTTACCACTGTCTAACCCCTGACGTCCCCTGACATTCCCTGACGTCCCTGTCAACTCCCTGATGTCCCCTGACTAAGACCCTGACCACCCTGCCAACCCCCTTTCGTCCCGTGACATTCATTTTGACCAGGAAAAAGGGTTAAAATATGTTTTGTTGCTATTTACTTGTGAGAAAATCTATACCTTACTCCTAGCAATTTTCAAGTTTTGTGAAAATGTAGATTTAATCATTAGTTTTTCTGTTTGAAATATCTGTAGCGAATTCTTTCAAAATATTATTTTATTGATTGTTACTAGCTTTTCAGATAAATCTTAATAAGGATAAATGCCGTTACTTAAAAAAATGAATTACTAATTTATTGCGTCTTATGTAGCACGAATGGCATGTAAATATTTATTTATTTATTTATTTATTTATTTATTTATTTATCTGTTTATTTATTTATTTCTTTGTTTATTTATTTTATTAATTCATATATCTGTTTATTTGTTAATTTGTCTGCTTATTTATCTATTCTTTTTTCTCCATTTATAGATTTATTTTTTATTCAATCTATCTATTTAATTTATTTATTTGTTTTATTTAATTATCAGTAAACAAATGGATTTATTTAAAATTTTTATTTATTTATTTTATTTTATTTTATTCAAAAATTTTAATTTATTTATTATTTTTTGTAGCAAAGTAAAAGAAGCAAATTAATTAATATTGATTAATAATAATAATTAATATTGATTAATTAAATTCAATTCATTTTGTGTAGTTCTTCATATACAGTGTCCGGGTAAAACAAATTTGCTTCAAACTAATTTTTAAGCATATTCAAATTACTTTTAATTCTTTTAATTTCATGATGGGTATCAAAATCATCGTCTTATTACACACAATCTAAATCTGGAATTTGTTTTTGTTTTGTTTTGTTTTTTTGTTTTTTTTTTGTTCCCTTTAACTTTTGGTAAAATAAAAATTTCCTCAAAAACTTGTCACGGTTGTGAAAGAAATAACACCTGCGGAGTGGATACAGTGGTGCTGCCACAGAATAAACAGTATACAGTGGTCAGTCAAAAGAACAATAGGTGTCTGATCTGTGTACCCAGAGTCACTGGTCAACGATCAACAGCTCAGAATTACTTTCACAACCGAACAGCTTTTGAGGAACATTTCTATTTTTTGTAGCAAAGTAAAAGAAGCAAACAAATTCCGAATTCAGATTGTGTGTAATAAGACGATTATTTTGATACCCATCATGAAATTAAAAGAATTAAAAGAAATGTAAATATGAATAAAAATAGTTTGAAGTATCGTTTGTTTTTCCATAAGACTGTTTATGGGGAACTACACAAATTAATAGGATTTGAAAAAATTAATTAATTAAAATGATAACAAAATAAATAAAGAAAGAAATAACATTACTTAATTAATAATTGAATAAAACAAATATTTAAAAGCAAAGAAATGAATATATTAAATAAATAAATAAAACAGATAGATAAAAAATAAATAAATAGAAAACTATACAAGAAAATAAGTTAAAAAAATAAATAAAAATATTGATTTTGTACATAATAATGTGTTTGAAGTATCTTAAGTAAATTTATTAATTTATTTGAATTAAATTTATTGATGTATCTTTTTTTATTTATGTCTTTGACCATTTATTTATCTATTTATTTTTTCATTCATTAATTAATTATATCTATCAAATTTATTTTTACGTATTTGTTTTATTTAATTTTTAATAAATAAATTTATTTATTTAAATTATTTATTTATTTTATTTTATTTTATTTATTTCCTTTATTTTAATTTATTGATTAATTTTTATTTAATTCAATTTGTGTAGTTTTTCACTAACAGTCTCCGGGTAAAACAAATTAGCTTCAAACTATTTTTTTAAGCATATTCAAATTACTTTAACTCTTTTAATTTCATGATGGGTATCAAAATCATCGTCTTATTACACACAATTTGAATCTGGAATTTGTTTTATTATTCCCTTTTACTTTGGTAAAATAAAAATTTCCTCAAAAACTTGTCACGGTTATGAAAGAAATAACACCTGCAGAGTGGATACGGTCGTGCTGCCACAGAATAAACAGTGTACAGTGGTCAGTCAAAAGAACAATAGGTGTCTGATCTGTGTACCCAGAGTCACTGGTCAACTATCAACAGCTCGGAACTTCTCTCACAGCCATGACAGTTTTTAAGGAACATTTTTTATTTTTTTTTTTTTACCAAAGTCAAAGAAGCAATAAAACAAATTCCGAATTCAGTTTGTGTGTAATGAGACAATTATTTTGATACCCATCATGAAATTAAAAGAATTAAAGGAAATGGAAATATGAATAAAAATAGTTTGAAGCATCGTTTGTTTTTCCATAAGACTGTTTATGGGGAACTACAAAAATAAATATGAATTGAAAAATTAATTAATTAAAATAAAATGAATCAACAAAATAAAGAAAGAAAGAAATAACATTAATTAATTAATTAATTAATGATTGAATAAAACAAATATCTAAAAAAAAAAAAAAAAAAAAAAAAAATGAAATGAATAGATTAAATAAATAAATAGACTGATAGATAAAAAAAATAAATAGGAAGATATACAAAGAAATAAGTAAAACAATAAATAAAAATATTGATTTTGTATCTAATTATTTGTTTGAAGTATATTTAGTAAATTTATTCATTTATTTGAATTAAATTTATTGATGTATCTTTTTTATTTATGTCTTTGACCATTAATTTATCTATTTATTTTTTCATTCATTAATTAATTATATCTATCAAATTTATTTTTACGTATTTGTTTAATTTAATTTTTAATAAATAAATTTATTTATTTAAATTATTTATTTATTTTATTTTATTTATTTCCTTTATTTTAATTTATTGATTAATTTTTATTTAATTCAATTTGTGTAGTAATTCATAAACAATCTTCGGGTAAAAAAAATTAGCTTCAAACTATTTTTTAAGCATATTCAAATTACTTTTAATTCTTTAAATTTCATGATGGGTATCAAAATCATCGTCTCCTTACGCACAATCTGAATCTGGAATTTGTTTTATTGTTCTCTTTTACTTTGGTAAAATAAAAATTTCCTCAAAAACTTGTCACGGTTGTGAAAGAAATAACACCTGCAGAGTGGATACGGTCGTGCTGCCACAGAATAAACAGTGTACAGTGGTCAGTCAAAAGAACAATAGGTGTCTGATCTGTGTACCCAGAGTCACTGGTCAACTATCAACAGCTCGGAACTACTCTCACAGCCATGACAGTTTTTAAGGAACATTTTTTATTTTTTTTTTTTTACCAAAGTCAAAGAAGCAATAAAACAAATTCCGAATTCAGTTTGTGTGTAATAAGACAATTATTTTGATACCCATCATGAAATTAAAAGAATTAAAAGCAATGTAAATATGCTTAAAAGATACTTTGAAGCATATAACAGTGCGACATTTAACTCCGGACACGACATTTGTCCGGACTTTCGCCAACCACTTTTCCAAAGATACATGGAAACCATTTATGTCATCTGGTGGGATTTTTTTAATCGCACAACATGGACTAACCTTTACACCTGAATATCTTCTAGATTAAAAGATATTACACCTGCAATCAAGAAATCCCATGGGATTATGGTGGGATTTTCTCTCCTAACTAATATCCCACCATTATTCTGTGGGAGAAAAATGAGTTCTGTGGGATTTTTTCTCCTATAGAAGCAAAACTCCCATTTTTAACCTTACATGGGATTTTTTATCCCATAATTTGTGAAATAGGACAAGAAGTTCTATAATTGTCACTAATAGGATTAAAAGTTCTCTAACAAAATGATTTATAGAATATTTTATCCTACAGGAGAATGGAAATTGTTTTTATCTCTTTAATGTACAGGGAAAAACAGTCCATCTTCTTTTAATCTAATACAGTCAAGGGTCAAAATTATTTTTGAAAGCTTTTTGCCATA